AGTTTTTTAAAAAAAAAAACACGCATTACACGAACTGAAACTACGCGAAACATACTTGAAAAACAATGCAGTCGATCAAGCTACGAAAGATCTCTACTGTGGCTTCACAGACGACCCGATAAAGATAGTAGGCCAAATCATCGTACCAATCATATCCAAAGGATGGTCTTACGAGACTATTGAAATGAAATTAAAACTAATTTTTGTACGGTAGCTGACCACAGTTCCAACGGATTAGTAGAAAACTTGTACATACCGTTTAAAAAAAATTTCCAACGATGTTTTTGGTACTACCGAAGACTTCACTAATCGACTCCGTTCTTAAAATCATTTGGAATTTACGGAGCACAAAACAATCAAAAAAAACTTTAAATCAAATGAAAAAAATTCAATTCAACAGAACACTAAACATTCTCTGGAAGACCTTGATCAGTCAAAATGTAATGACCCTTAGACAACGGAAAATCAATTAGGCCAAAGAATAGGGCACACAACTGGGCTTCTGATGACAGAGTAGAGGACGGTTATCTGGATACTACGATGGACGACATAAACCGTAACCCCGAAGAGAAATGATACGACTACACAGAACCAGAAAATCCCAGCGAATTCTGGATACTCTGATGGACGACATAAACCGTAACCCCGAAGAGAAAGGATACCGCTACACAGACCCAGAAAATCCCAGCGAATTCTGGATACTCTGATGGACGACATAAACCGTAACCGCGAAGAGAAATGATACGACTACACAGACCCAAAAAATCCCAGCAAAATGTACAAAAAGACTTTTACTTTCTAACCCACTGAAAAAAGGTAATATCTTTCGAAAGGTTTTAATTCGAATGAACGGGGCAACCTACTAACAACCTCCTTTGAGCAGAAAAATCAGACACTCTTTTGATTCAACAGTGAAACTAGTGAGCGGAGAATCCTACAGAAACCAGATATAGCTATTCGAAAAAATGTATTCGAAACCACCAAAACTTTTTATTTTAGTAATTATTCTGAAGTAGGATAAAAAAAAGTGCAGAAAACAAAACAACTCGAAGAATTCTTCAAAATTCCGAAAACCGACTCAGAATACGACGAGATTCCAATCGAAATGGGCCAAACAAAAGATTATTTCCCACTTTATTTAAAATTTTTCTTATATCTTTTGACAATTCTGACGTTAGCGATTAGGAATGGGTTTTCCTTGCAGGATTGTATGCAGGGAAAGGTTCATTAGTGACCTTAATAATCATTCACCACACCCTAACAACGAACAAGTTTCACCGGATAATCAAATTACACCAGAATATATAGATTGAGATTGAAACACACATGGACCATCAAAAGATAAGCATAATAATAGCACATTTTCCAAACCGCACTGGAGTTTGAACAAATTGAAGTTGAACACATCACTGAGGAACAACCAACAGTGCCAGTGATACTGGAATTAGACGACGAATCTGCATCAGAAATCCCGGTGTACGAAGAGTAGACTCCCCAGAACGTAATAACCGAAATTCTTCTAAACCAAGGTTATATATAGACCAAGGTTTGTTCTAGACCAATGTTATCTATAGATGTTGTAGTTGAACACGATGTCGGGACCGCAGATAAACCATTCATAATAACCGAGAACACAGCCAGCGACAACATTTCGGAAAACGAGAGGAACTGCAGGAAAATCTTGGTTGCACAATCGGTCGAACAGTCTGGCCCCATAATCTCACAAAGTCCGACGAAGTGATTCCCAAAACGAGGACGTTTTTTTTTGACAAAAATGTACAGGAGCTACTCATCTCATTACCACCTTCTGCTGCAAAAAATTCCGAACTTCAGACATCGATTCAGATGTAATCAGACAATGCCAAAAGTTTCTGAAAGGTATTGACCCTGTCTCAAAAAACTAAGACTACTCAAACCCCTAATAGTCTTCCTCTGATTGGGCGATATTCACATCTAAATCAAGAAAAAAGCCTCAAACTTCAGATGAAGCCTTTTAAGCATTGGTGTAGATATTTAATTTTCAATCAAAAACGATTTAAACAAAAAAAATTGATAGTCATTCGGATTATTCACAAAAACCTCATTTGTGGTTTAAAACTTATTTCTTTGCTCCCGCTATACAACTTTGAAGGCTTTGTAATCTTTTAGTGATGTAGATTTCTTTAATTTCAGGCTCCTTTTACATGTTTGCGGATTGAATAAAAAAAAACCAATCGGATAATTAATAGTAATTTAAATTATCAACCTAATAGTAACCTAATAGTAATTTAAAATTTTGCAATTACATTAATTCGATTAATCTTATAAAGTGTTGTACCAGAAAACTTTTCATTAACTACTATCGAGTTTTAGTTAATTTTGGTTTCATATTTTTCTCCTTTTCTAGAAGGAGAAAAGGATCACCCATTTTTCACGCTTTAGGTTCGAATTTTTCTCAGTTAGGGGAAGTGTTGGAATTATCTATATTTCATTATTTTTTTTAATTGGTCTTTTATGACCTTTTCTACCGCTGACGACCTCCATCGTAGTGAGCAAGCTTCAGCGTTATCGTGTTTCAGTTAGAAATAACGTACTTTTTAATTGAACTCTTATTTACTTCTTATTATTTTTAGCTTAGTTTAGTTAGAGCGTTAGTACATTTTATTAGTCATTTTGCACTTGTGAAGATTCCAAGTTTGATTCCGAGGATTTTCTGCTGAAATAATTAAATTTTGCTTAAATTGGTCGTTTTCGTCTTGACTATGACGTTTTTGATATGTGCGTTTTCCATTTTATAACTCTTGAGAGAATTCGGATCTGAAAAAAAATTGAGCATCTTAAGATTTTGGATTTGAAAATTTTTTTTCTACTGACTTTTTTTCCTTTTCAGCTCAACGGGCGTCTAACTAAGTTTTGTTGGCTAACTGGCCGCAAGTTCAGTGAATTTGAATGCTTAATAACGCTTGTGTTTGCGTTTTTTGCTGTTGTTGCGTTGTACATCGAGTGTTGCGGCAGAAAGTTTGAGATTTTTTTTTGTGAAAATCATCCACCCACATGCCATATAAAGTATAAAGTGATAAATGTTGCTGCTAGTAAATAATGAATTGTGGCAAATAAGCCTCTTGGAACGATTTCTAAGACGGATTAAATCTCCGCTTACGCGTTAATAGCGCGAAAAATATCGTCCCAAATTGGCCAAAATGTCAACCTTTGAATCCCCATAATTTTACGAAAAATGATCAGAGGTGAAATATCTTTGCAAGTTTAAATTCAGAAGAACAATCCCTCTTGAATGATATAAAAAAATTTGGTCAAAAAAGGCTAGGTAAAAAGTCAAAATTTGTCTGAAGAAAAAAACCACCCCAAGCACAAATATTCGGAACAAAAAGCAAACTTATTTTTTTAAATGAAACAGCCACTTAATCCGGAACAGCAATAGATTTACTGAAGTAGCCGATTTATCTCCAATATCTACTTTAATCATAAATGTGAAAAGTTGAAATCAGTATATTTTCTGCAATTTGAAGCAAAAAAAAACAAGAAAAAGAGTTCATTTATCCCAAAGACTCAAAAATTTTTGACAGATTAAGGCATACTTTACTAGTTGAAAGGGTAGATTCTTGATTCGAGATAAATAAGATACAAGGATTTGTCTTCAAACTCCACAAACACTAGATAACTCCTCGTTCCGCAATTCTGCACTTGTTTTTCATGCGGAGTCCACATATGCGGAATCAAAAACAAATTGCTAGTCGTTCGTTGGCGACTTCGCGGCAGAATAGTTTTTTTACGAGCATTTTTGGTGGATTTCGATATATGTTGGTTAGTGGATTCCACATACAATTTTTGAGATGTCGATTCTTGAGACATTCTAGATTGTACGTCGATTCTAGAGAAATACAGGCCAACGGGCGCCTGATAAGAGCACAGTTTGGCCTGTTTAGCTAGGACGTTTGGGCAATTTTTTAATGCATGTTTATGGCTCCAGCTTTCCAAATGAGTTTTCAATGAGGAAAGTAATTACAATTAAAAAGAGTTCTGCTCCAACTTGCTGTACGTGAGGAGAAAACTAAAGATTAGTCTCTTTGACCAATTTTCATCAATGCATTTTATGCTGAAAGGTAAAAATGCGGACTTCGTTTGCAAAAAATGTTGAGCTCATTTTCAAAATTTGACAAACACTTCCGTAATTGGGCTTCCTGGAAACTATCCTTTTTTTCTATTTTGAACCACCGGCTCCCTTAAATTAAGCACATACAGGCGACGAAGGCATTGATAGATAACCTTAGGTGCTGCCGGAACATATTTCAGGCACATTTTTTTGAATTAATTTAGGCAGCGGGCTTTCAGTTAATAAGAGATGGAAAATGAATATTATTGAAAAGATATTTTATTCAAATGCTGCAAAAGATTTTTAAGGGCCGGAATCGGAATTATCTTTGAAAAATTTCTATTCCATAAAGCTAATTCTCTTTCAGATTTTTGCGACACCTTTTTGTGAGCTTTCAGAAGCGACACCTTGATTAGATAATCTATATGATTCTCAATTCAATGCCATGGTAATGGTCCGAACAACAAATTATAAATCGGAGTTGATTGAGTAATATTTCAGGGTTTGTTTGCATTACTTTGGGGGATAAAGGCGGCGAACTCCAGTTGTTTTTGATGACAAAAACCTGTTAATTTCAGGAGATTTATATCATTATGTGTATATGTATCAGACGATGTTCGCACAACTAAATGTAAAAAAAGATTAGGAGTGACTCGCCATTTTTATTTCCCCTCAAGTTATCTTTCTCCATAGCAAAAATCTCGGTCTAATCTCTAACATGAAGAAGAGTTGCTGAAATTTTTGTTTGCTTCAAACTTTATATAAGAACCTTTACCATTTGCAACTCTTAATGTCCTTCGAAAAAATAAACAGACCTCGAAATGGCAGTGTAACAATAAAATGGCAAAACTGAATTATTCTTAAGGCCATAATCACTGATGTTTACGAGGCGCAAAGTTCACAACATTTTCTTTCAATAAGCATAGCGGTCAGATAAATTTTAAGTTTCAGTCGCCTTATAACATTTTGTACCCGTTTTGTCCAATAGACTCTGTTGTGTGTTCATTTCTTTATTTTGGAAACTTGTATAGATCCACTTAGAAGATGGTTTTGTCAACTGTTTTAGTTATTTTAATTTCCGCCCACTTTTTGTACCCAATCTTGGGGAAATGCCCAGATGAATGTCATTGCTATCCTTTCAAATGGGGAGACGCATCGGTTGGGGTAGATTGCAAGAGCTCAAATCTTCAAACTATACCAACCAATTTGCCATGGCGTATATCGAAAGCAGACTTCAGGTAAGTTTTTCGGTAAAAAAGCCACGGTTTTAAAAAATTGCTTCTTATATACTTTAGTTCTAATTAATTCTACCTTTACGATAATCTCTCCGAATGATTGAAGATATTGCGTATAAATGATTGTGTAAACCTCTATTTGCTTACACAAAAATTGAATCCAATTTTTGACAAACAAATTTGATTCAAAAAAAGTTCTGACTTTATGATAAATGGTATCCATAAAAATAATAAATCAAGATGAATTTCAACAGCATGAACAAACTTGGAACAACGCAAGATTTCAAGATAGACTTGCCATTCTCTCCTTCTGTAAAACAACTGGATTTTTCTGCCAACTTCCTGGAGTCCAAGCACATCAAAGATATCCCCGACTCAGTCGAGATTTTGGACCTATCGGCTAATTCGATAACCGATTTTTCGTTGGACGACTTGCCCAGACACATTCGAGGGCTAAACTTGGCGAAGAATGGCGCCAATATATTGAATGGGTGTGGCAGGGGGAAGAAACTTGCGAGCAAGGAGCAAATATGGATGCGTTTTGACTACAACTACATTCCAATTATCATCGGTGGGTACTTTGATAGGAAAATAATACAATTATGATTGATTCAAACTAGATTTCATCTTTTGGTTACATTTCAAATTTCCTCGCACTTAATTTTTTGTTTAATTTTAGTGGTTTTGCTCAGATAAGATTTCAACCGTTTAAAATTATATACTGATGTTTCAGCGGACACTTTCGCCAACTGCGGGGCTTCGTTTGGCTATCTCGATTTCTCCAGTAACAATTTGCACACCATCGAACCCCACGCCTTCCGTGGAGTAGCGCCTCGCGAAAACGAATCGCTAGCAATCGACCTCAGCTACAACCAGTTGGAGACTATACCCTTCGAGGCGCTGCAGGATTCCATCTTCGAGAACTTAGGGTTCAACCATTTCTCACTGGATCTGCGGAAAAACCCGATCGTGTGTTCATGCAACATGAGCTGGGTTCCTATGGCTGCGGAATATTACAGGAAAATTGGGCTTAGAGTCACCATTCTGGGAAACTGCTTCTCCCCGTTGGAAAAATCTGGCATCCTTTTGGAAGGTTAGGTTTTGTGTTTAGAGCCAATAACAAAATCGAAAGAATCACGCGTCGAATGGAATAAAGTTTTTTCTAACCATTTCTTAAGATATATACAGCGCTGTTAGAAATTATCCAGGCCAATATCTCATTTAGGTTTAGACAAAAACTGACATAGTCAAAAATTGTGTCGGAATAAGTATAGTGCAATTACTTTGAAAATCTTGGATACAAAAGTTCACCCTTAAAAATGTTCTTTTTGGATGAAAAACAATGCAAAAAAACGGACTAAAGTGTGTTCAAATTATATCATAATGACCCCTCATACTTAACCCAATATTGTTTAAAAAGTTATAGCAAGCGGGCTTCCAGGGACGTTAAATGAAGCCCATAGACTTCAGGAAAGTGGCGCTCCCTTCGCCCACAAATTCACCCTTTTGCGAGAGCCTTTTTACGGACAATTTTGGCACTAACCCAAAAACTGGTATTTAAAAAAACCGTCAGAGGAGCTTTTTGTTCTGATCACTCTCAAAAAATTGGAAGAAACTATGACGGTCTAAGCAGGTTGTTTACGTACCTCGAAACAATCCCATTTGTTATGGAGCTCCAAGAGTTTGAAATCGAAAAAGATGGTTCAAAAGACGTTTCAGTGTCAAGAAATTACGACACAAAAAAAACTCTGGTGTTTTGACAAGTTTTCAACAGGGAAGCGATTGGCAACAATTGATATCTTTTTCAGCTAAGTTATAATAGCTGGTAAAATATACAAAATTGTACGGATTTTGTAAAAACTCGAATTTTCTACGAAGTTTTTCCCTAATTGAGTATGAACTGTCGATTTCTCTGGTTCAATTAAAAAAAAACACATAAAAAGACTTTTGCAAACATTCAAAGGTCTTTTTTGCTCTGTTAGAGAATTCCTGAAATGGTCGGTTGAAAAGATAAACGTCTTACTTGTACTATTCAGCCTAAAGTTATATCTTTAAATTCTTTGCACAAAGGTGAAGCTGAGCTTTGCACCACTTGTGATACAAATATGACTGACTATGAAAATCAAACGGAAAAAAAACTCAAAAAATCGTTTTTGTCAAAAAAACTGCAAAAAATGGCCAAAATGTTGCCTGCACCACAAAAAACTCTTTAAAGAGCTTTGTGAATGCTATACAGAAGCCAAGCTGTCTGAAAGACCTTTCTGCGGAACTAAGCTGACAACAAAAATAAGCAGACAGGCAATAATGTAAATTAGCCAAAACTTTTTCCAAAAAAACATGTCTCAACTGGAATTAAACTCCCAGGCTTTGTCACCTTAAGCATGGGGGTTTAAGAATTAAAGCAACTTGAAATAAAGCTAAACCATCGAGCTACGAGAACTAAGCCGACAAAAATAAACAGACGGTTGATAGTAGGAAAAAGCACAAAAACTCAGTTTGCAAAAAAAGGGTCCGGCCGGACTCGAACCGCAAATCTTTGCAGTCTCAAGTAGTACCTCTGCTCCAGATGCGCCGAATTCTGATTGGATTCGAATTTATAATTATCAAGCGGTAACAAAGCCGAAAAAACCTGAGCAGAAACCCTTCATGCCGGAAAGAAATTCGAAAAAGTTCTAAGCTTATAAGAAATGACGAGTCCCTTTTATCTGAGAGCAGATACATGCGCGCTTTTTTTGCACGTAACGACGCAATAAGAGGCCACTAAGTTGATTCAGCCGAAATTTTTTAAGCTGATGGAAAAAAAAGGGAAAAAACCAATGGAAAAAGAAATATTTCGATCCGGCTAGATTTTATAATGCTAAAAACAACTGCAGTGAAATTCATTTACAGCTAAAAAACAACAATTTTTACATGTGGCAACTAAGCCGACAAAACATAGGCAGACAAATAACCGGCCAAAATTTTTTTTAAATCGGAACATTTACCTTTTGAAAAAAAACGGGTTCTGGTCAGATTCGAACCCAAGACCTGTGCAATCCCAAGGGTATTCCTTGCCACCAGGCTAGGTGTGCGAGAAACAGTATAAAAATTCAACTCATTATGAACCAATGTACCACCAGGAGTCCAATGAGTCCTGTGGTCAAAGTTGTTTACGGGGAAAAAGTCTGGTACCCGATGGCAATACCCTTGCTATTGCAAGGGTAAAAAAACTTGTAAGATAGATTGTGCGCATAAATTACTGGATGATATTTTAAAGAAAAAGTTTGCAGGCTTACAACAGTTTTTCGATGATTGCAGATAGCCACAGTAGCGGATTTGGGGGGGGGGGGGGTGGCGGGGATGCGGACGATTCTTCTTAGGAACTCGAACCCCTGCCGACACAATGTCCCCAATCCCCAATATTCCATTTAAACAGCTTAACAAACCGAGTAAAGATGGTTTTCTCTCGACAATTACACCTCAGATTTTAATATGTTTATGCCAGTCATGTAAGTTTTTGTTTGCCACGCAAAGTCAAATACCACAAGTAATCATTGGAATGGGTTGAGTGACACATCATATTAAAGCCCTTTTAGTCGTGATTCGTCACATTATAAAAATTCCAAAAAAGTTTTCCCAGTTTCGAGAAAAACCGGTTTGGAATTTTTGATTTTTCGTCTTAAGTAGGCTTACAACAGCTGAATTATGCCCAAATTAAGAGCTTAAAACCTTATTTTTTACGGAACATTCTGCGCTACTTGCACAGTAATCGGCTGGCCTAGTTATTATATGCTTTTTGTCAAAAAATGTTTTGCAAACAGTTTTAATAATGCTTTAACTTATTTTACGAGCTATGTTTTTGAAAATTAAATTTGAAACCATGAAGCCAATTTTTTATGATTACAAAAACCAATCTTCTAATTTTCCTTTGAGTAATTACATTAAAAAACCATTGATCAGATGCTTATGAAGTCTCCAATCCTTTTTCTAAACGAAGAGAAGTTTTCTCAAAAGAGATGAACGAGAGCCCGCGAATCCAAAAATTTTAATTTACAATTGTTAAAAACGAATCGGCTGCAATAATTAATCAGCCAGAGGATGAAAAGTGTAACAACGTCTTATTCTCATACAAATTGTTACAAACTATTTTGAATTAGTTAATGATAAATGAATTCACTAAAAAATCAAGACAAAAATTGAGAACTATTTCCTTATATATAAGTCCGATTTACATCAACATATCTTTTTTAAATAACTGTAACATTTTCGGGTTTATGGTTTTTCAAGGTGTCCCTGTATGAGCCTCAGGGTTTGTGAGCAAACCATGCAAGTTAAATGCTGTATACGTAAACTTTTCTCACTAAATTCAAATTCAAAAGGTCAGTCAGCCAAAAATGGATATCTCAAAACAGTACAAAGGGTGCTTTTGTCATCAAGCTGTCCCATCGAACCTATAAAAAAGTTTTTTTTGGCCATAATCCAGTTGAGTTTTGTTATGTATCATGGCCACAAAAATTCAGGAGCTTTTTCGATTGGTTTCTTTGACTCATTGGGCTCGAAAACTTAAACTTCACTAATTTAAGTAACTAGTATCTAAGCGCTTTATTTTTTCAAAAAATAAGTAATTTGTACCATTTATTTTTTGTAGATTTGAACAAACTCGATTTCAAATCGTGCAGTCAGTACAACTGGCTCAAGGCCGAGATGAAAGAGAGGACGGATCAGCGGGTGATGCCCTTTTGGCAGGTGTGCATTGTCGTTCTTGCTCTGCCCGCACTCGTGGCCGCAGTGGTGCTGGCAGTGGGGATCCGGATGCACATGAAGGACTACAGACGCTACAAGGTAGGGGCGTACGATTATTTTGCTTTCTCCTCAGACTTTTAATATTTCATTCTGATTGGCTGATATTATTTTTCCAATATTTGGTCCCGAGATTCACAAGAACCCCCTCTCGTGCACCATGTATATTTACTTCATGTATTATAATCAGCTTAAGTTAATGGTATAAATTTTTACGCAATCAACTATCAGCCTCTATTTTATAGTATTTGAACTAAGCTCAGTGACGAAATCAAAAGTACTGTTCTTCTAAACTATTATCTCTTTTCATGTAGGATTACATCACGATCAAAAAGCAGAGGATGATGGCACAGAAAAGACGCAGACACTTCCGAGCCAGCGGGGCGATGGGGGATGTGTTGCTGAATTCTTCAAACAAACACTTTTAAACTTTTAAATCTCGAGAAAGTCGATAATAACTTGGAAATTTTTAAGGGACCTAGCAAATGCATTCATATCTCGTAATTGCCCTGCAATTGTGGGCGCACTTGACTATACCAAGATTACCATTTGAATGAGGTTTTTTCTCTGAATTTTTTCTAACTATCATTAAATTCAAACTATTGATGGTTATTTTGATTTTAACCACCTTCAGCTTGCTTATGTTTTTCCTACATCGATTTCCTAAATATTTCAGAGTTTCAATAAAATTGTCTCAAAATCTTCATAGTTTTTGATGGATTATAAATGTGTATAACTCTATAACGTTCAGTTAATTGAGATCATTAATAGTTTCAATTTTAATTTCAATAATATGTTCTCTTGAACTTTTGTAATCAATTTTGAGAAAAGGCTACTGGAAAATTTAGAATGCCCCTTCTTTCAGGAATTCCTTCTTTTTTGACACCTAAAAGAATCCTCTGATCTGACGGAACGATTATTGTATTTTGGCTAAATGGTGACTTCATTGATATATCTTCCTAACTGCCACTCTTGTATGTGTTTAAATAGCTTTCGGTACTAAGTTATAAGCGCTAGAAAAAAAAAGATTTAAAAATTTGAAGGTTTTTTGAAAACCTTCCGCCACATAACATGAAAGGTTGAACGTAATCTAAATAGAGTAACCTGACAATAAAAGTAATCTGAGAAAAAACACACACTGCCGAGATTTCAGCTGCATTTTGCTGCAATTTCAATAAATCACAGATTTCAGTATGTCATCAGACCAACCCCTAATTGTGTGGAGAAACATTGGCGTAGGGTGTGCTTTTTACTGCAATATCAGATAATATGCCCGAGTTCAGATGTTTTTACCCGAGTTCAGATGTTCTTACCCGAGTTCAGATGTTTTTAAAACGAGAATGCTGGTCTGAACTTTCAGCTAATCCGACACAGATTTCGAGATGCGGGGATGAAAAAGATGTCTTCATTTAATGAATAAAATTTTGAAAAGAAAACTTATTTGTTTGTTTTATACGCGTGGTGTTATAGCATTTTTGAAAAATGAGAGAATGAAACTGTTTTTGTACTTTCATTCAAAAATTTTTTGGGCATTGATGAGCGGTGCAATTCACCGCTCTGGGCATTGATAAGAGCGGTGCGTTTTTTGTGAATTTACTTTCCAAGTAGTCTTTCAGACTGATGAGAATAGTTTAGGGGGAATGAGCGCATTTTTGATCAACTTCATAAAAGTATTCCGTGTCGAAAGAGTGCACGCCATCGAACAACCTGTAAATCTTCTTTCAATTTTCTCAATTTACACAGGTTAGAAGGCATACACTACCTAACACATAAAGGCCGTTAGCTATTTACTTTTTCAACAAATAATTTGAAGCCCTCTGTGTCTCAACATCAAAATTTCAAAAAAGACTAACCTCCCGAAACCTAATAAAGACCTTAAAATGTCAGAATCTTGCGCCGGATCGCAATTTTAAGCCCAGCTATAAAAAAAACTTTGGAATCTTTAAATCACCCAATCTAAACAAGCACCTGCCCAAAGCCGACCATCAACGGCACTTATCCAGCCCGATGCACTTAATCACTACGGCATTATCACTTATCAATTTTTTTTTATCAGTGATGGATTTAGACAAGGCCATTTTATTACATTGTGTCCTAACGTCCACTATATTAAATTTTACGTGCATGATGCACCATTATCCCCCATCTCCGAAGTTAAACTACAATCATACGCCGACAATTTTAACCCCTTCGTACAGTTGAACAGTTTCCAAAGTCCTCCTCTACTGTATCGAACTACTTAACTCATCAAGAGAGACAATTCTGGTCACCTCCTAGACTTCGGTCAGGCCAATTTTCAATAACGCATGCCCTACATGGTCCCATGCCGCCAGTTTCACGTTAACAAATAAACTAAACAATAAATAAATAACAAACAAAGTAATTTAAAACGCCACTCTCCGCACTATAAAGGGTTCTACAAAATTGAATTCCCCAGAACTAGGGCCTGGGACAACAAGCCGACGGGACTTCAAGCCGAAGGGACTTCAAGCCGAAATTAAAACTTTACAAGCACCTCAAAACACTATTTTATCATCTGTAAAACGTTATTTTTCAAAAGTTTTGGCAAGTTTAGTCGATAATAAACGTTATTCATGACGATGCACCACTTGTGATTGGCATCCGTTAATAACATCAGCCGGTTTTTGAAATGCATAAATTATAAACATGAAAAATGCCTTCAACTATGTTTTACTTTTCAACTTTCCGAAACATCATTTGGAGGCTTAAATTTTATGAAAACGCCAATAACTTGTGAAGAAAAATCATGAAATTCAGAAATTCTTCAAAAAAGTTTTCAAATTAATCATATTTCACGAGTTTATAAAGAACTATTCGGCTTGAAGTCCCTAATTTTACGATTCGGCTTGAAGTCCCGTCGGCTTGATGTCCGGCACCCCCAGAACTTACATTCTGAATGTAAAATTTTTACCACCGTCATCAACTAGTCTCCGCTCAGTTTACCCTATAAACTAATATCCCTCAAACCCCTTCCTTTTTACCGCAATCACCCGAGACCTCCTCAGAACACCCGTCATTCATTGAGATAAACAGTCTCGCACTAGAACATCCTCCAAGATACAGCAAACCCACCTTTAACTATTTTGAGTGCTTTTAACGAACTTAGTTCTTTCGCCTGCAGTTTAAAACAAGTTTCGAGCAGGCAATTGCAGATGCACCTCCCCTAAAAGTCCGCTCGAGGCTAATGACACATTATGACCAGATGCAAAGTGACTAACAGTATCTTCTAAAATAAAATATTTGGCTAGTTCATTTGCAGTGATACCACTAGCAGTCATTGTATGGGACAACAAAGAAAATTTTAATGACACATGTTAAAAAAAAACAAATTGTGTACTCATGAATTCGACATTAATGACTAGAAAAAATTTCAGTTCAGTCTCTCGAACATCTTTCAGTTTCCTCAGCTTTCAGCAAGTATGCGGGATTGTACACATCCCTCTTGCCAATAGTCTCCACAAACAGTTCTGGGTTCTTTTTCGTTCTGGACTTGGACCCTAGACTGGTGTATCCCTGGTCATACAGAATACAGTAGGGTATCTGGAGAGTCCTGATGATGTTCCACACTTCGGAGTAGCGCCAGTTTAGAATTGGGTTCACCCTCAGAAAGTTACCGTATTGAGGATCACATGGCTGGAATTCAGCGGCGTTCTTCCCGCCTGGATCTGTACTGCGAGTTCCCAAAATGATGGCGTAGATATTTGGGCTGTCTTTGTTCAGCTTTTTCAATCCTTCGATTATGTTGGAGCTTTTGATGTGGTAATATCCACCAATTGAATAGCGCTTCTGAATAAGAAACAACTATGATTATTGAAATTATACAACGCGCTGTTCGGCAGAGAAAGTTAATCCAAGGAAATCACACCATTACTGTATGTTTTATCCATAGCAATTTGTACCTGTCGATAAAATAAAAACATACAAAATTGTATAAAAAATCTCAACAAGCGTTGTTCTTACTTTTGAGACAAAATTGTTCTTACTTTTGTAGCTTCAATGAAGTTTTCCAGTTCTTCGAAGGATTCTGCTGTTTCTATGAAGAGCAAATTCGCCTTTTCCGTCGGGAAATGTTTTCTTAACACCGCCTCGTACATATGAAGTAACAGAGTGCAATCTTTTCCTCCGTTGAAAGAAAGAACCACGTTATTTGGCCCATGTTCTTGCAAAGCCTTCTCGATAAGGCTCACTACATTTTTAACTAAACACTACAACGAATCACTACAAACAATAAAGAATATTATTTTATGTTTGTAAAAAATGCTTTCAAATATTACCTAAATCGGAATCAAAATTGTACACAGATTGAGGTAGTAATTGAATTGGGTCATCAATTATATCGTGTCTAATCGAACCTTCCGGAAGTAATTTGGATAGGTAATTTTCGACATCATCAAGAAGTTGCTCGCTTAACGCGTCAATTGTGAACTTGGTTTTGTAGTAATTACTTGTCCAACTGGGGTACGAACCGAGCTGTACTTCTGGTAGCTGGAATTTCTTAAAAACTGCATTAATCTCATTTGAAATTGTCATCTCGCCTTTATCTATGTACACATATCTAGTGAATTTCTCCGAAGTTCCGCCCGTACTTTTGAACTGATCTTCGATCAAGGGAAGCATTTTCTCAAAAATTTGAGGGACTCCTGGTACATTGACGGGCATTGATATTTTAAATTTTACTGGGTCTTTTTTGGTTTCTAACGTCGTTTTTTGGTCAAGACCTTTCGATCTCAAAGCAGCCTCACAATCTAGTCAATGTAAAGACCAAGTTCTACACAGGTGATACAACACAAAACAATGCGTGACATAGTGGAATGAAAAGAGAAACTTGTATGAAAAATTTAAGTTGAAAAATTTAAGTTGAAAAATTAACTGAAACATAGCCAACAGACAAATGGAAAAAAGTTCAAAAAATTTGTTTTTGAAAAAACTTCAACTTCCGAATTTCAAACAAAAAATATACGGCTTCTCTGACTATACGTAAGTTCTCTGAATTTCAAGGGCAATTTATAATTGCCACTTTTTTGTCAAAAGTAAACAAATTTGATAAAACTGGGTTAATAGGAAAAATTTTATTCCGCTGGGAAATCTTAAAATAAAATTCCACCTTTGAAACTAGGAATCGATCATGTTTTTCGTGCCATTTCAACTTCCAAAATTGGAGAGTCCATTTTGTCTACCTTCTAGTAAGTGAACTTGAATTGAACTCAAAAATGCAAATATTCATATGTGCATTTATAAGTATGAATTTATTTTGTTATTTGTCACTTGAAAACTTTTCCTTAAAAACCATAGCGACTTATCTAAGAATCTGAACTGCGTTCAACGTCTCTTAAAAGTTTGAAAACACACCAATGAAAATTATGAAAACTTATGTAATTTATTTATGTAAATTTATGTAATTGTGAAACTTACCGAGGGGCAATTAACGCTACAAAATTTGGGTCGATCCCTGTTGAGCCGAAAAGAAAACTGTTTTAATAAAAATTGAGCTTGAAGTTTTTACGACCCATTGGTATTGAAAAAAATAAAGGCATAACGAAATATTTCAATCTCGAAACTACGCAATATATTTTGATTAAGCTGATAGAACATAAGCCGAAACCGTTTAATTGCACATAGAAACACACTCAATTCAGAAATTAAAAAACTTTCGATGTTGAAACAGTTTAAATTAATGAAAAACGATGCTTGGGAAAGAAAGCCCTAACAAAGTTATCACACAATATAAATTGCATTAAAAAAAGGAAAATGAACTGTCGGAAACTAGTACAGAAACCACGAATACGACAAAACATTTAGTTGAAAAAATAACTGCCTAAAATGACGGTAGTTTTATTTGAATTCTCAAGAAATTGACCATTTAGCAGTCTGCATGACAGCAGTCGTGAAATCCGCCATTCCAAGTAAATTGATCATTCTGTGAACAAACTTATTTACAGGAAACAACAGTCTAGTACCCGATTGCAATGCCCTTGCTAATCGCAAGGGCAAACAAAGAGTTGTTTCATCTGTTCAATATTATTACCCGCGGCGGTTATAAGATTTTCGAGAAGAGACGAATTTAAAAAAATTGAGACCTTTTTTAAGACATAACTGGCATTCCGAGGTCTCCCAAATCACGTTCAAGACCAGTTTTCGACCAAATTTTTTGCGCTGTAGGCAAATTTTTGAAATGTTTTGACCAAAAATAGCGTTTTTCGACACGCGCTCCTCGCACAAAATTTTCTACACCCCATGCAATCTTTCGAAAAAATAGGCCAAAAAGCGTTTTAAAGGACTTTTTGTATCATTTTGACCGAAAAGGCGCATTTTTTCGGAGCGCGTTCCCTCATCAAAATTAGAATATATTGGCGCCGAAGGCGATTTAGAAAATTTTCAGGGTTAAAAAACCAAAAATGGATATTTTAAACTAGTACCAAATGTGAGCCCTTGGGTCCGCAGGGGCTCGAATCCCTGTGGGAGGGGGCATCCCCCCTAAATCCGCTACTGATAATTACTATTGATGAAAATAAATTTCCAATTAGCTTTCGCGGTTTTTAAATGCTCGTCAATTTCCTGGTAGGATGAAGACGTTTTCAACAGTAACAATAGGGTAGTCTCTAGATGGATTCCAAACAAGTTTCGAGTTGGAGGGAATGTTAGCTAGCCTGTATATGGCGTCACTCGAATCTTTCTTCCCAAAAAACGACTCAACTGCAGCTGATATTTGGTCGTTCAGTTTCAAATCGACACCAAACGCCTGAAACAAATAATATTACTATGAGTCAATTACAAAAGCTAAGTTCTTAGTCATCTGTTATCAGGGATTTACCTTCATTTAACTTGATTATAGGGAATTATTGAGGGTAAGTCGAAGTACCATATCAATAAGTGAGGGGACCAATGATCAATAAACTAAGCGCATTTGCGACTTAAGCAAATTGTGAATTAATTGTTTTCACTGGTTGTCGCAAACGTTTGTTGCCATCGTTTCTCGATAAACGGAGTTTGCATTTGTCTTAACAAAGGAAATGAGCCGAACTTAAAATTAAATCAAAAGTCAAACCGCGAAAAAGTATTTTTGAGCCTGACCAAACTTAAAGAATTTTCATGAAGAAAAATCATCGCGACCATATAGAGTCTGAACTAAGTTCATCATCTCTTAAAAAGTTTATCTAGTTTTTTTTAGAAGCGTGCATTAAAATGTATATCAGGACTAGGATGAACTTTTTTATTTCAGGCTACGGCGTTAACCTTCGGTTTTTTGGAAAATTAAAAGTGAATTCGATTTCAAAAAACACCTCCCGTGTTAATCGATTTAGAGTTATAAAAAACAAAGTAGCCAAAAAAAATAAGTGTGTCGATTACTCATTTGCTCTGAACGAGATGTCAAAATGTCCGAAGATGTCAAAATTTTCCCGAGCAACTTCTAGACGAGCAGAAAAAGCATTAACCTCAACTATAAAAATAAAACCAGCCCACCACAAAACATACAGCAAAAGAAGCTAGGGGAACATTTCGTTGATGACAAAAACAACACTGCTTCTTGGCAAAAACTTCAAAACACAATAAAATAATCAAAGAAAGGTTGGAATTTCAAGTAAACGCAGAGGCGGAGCTTCGCAGAGACAGAACTTCGTACCACAGGTGATATCACCAAAATAGAGCATTGCAAGCTAGCAAACAAAAAATGAACCAAAAGCTACTAAATCCTAAAAATTTGAAAAAATTATCTAAACCACATTTGCAAAGATGATAAATGTGTCAAACATGTTGAATTTGAGGAAAACACATTCAGTAATACAAACGCCGGCGCGAAATAAGTATACAGAAAACATTGGTGAACGGAAACTAAGTTGTATACAATTGGTTTAGCTCCCGTTGAGCCGAAAACAAAATTGTTGTCAATGTTCTGAAATTGTAGATTTTTATCCTTTTTGTGTTTTCGGAAGGAAAGCAGACGTGAGCTATAATTTTTTTTTTTCAAAAATGACGCAAACTTAGGTCACTACGCCAATAAAAAATAAGCTAAAAATTGTCTGTCCCTTTGAGGCACGCGAACTAGCGTGAACTAACTTAGGAACCTTTTCCGAAGAAAAAATAAATTATTACGACCTATATGAGAGCTCATTCTATATAAGAGTTCACCTATAAACTATGTTCATTGATATTTACAATACAGACTACGAGTTTCGAACCATGAACTCCAGAGCTACGGTCACTTGTCTAATATTGTTGCTAGTATTAGCCCGATTTTTGAGGCGCGTCCGACGAGCTCCCGCCTAGTCTATGGAGCGTCCTGGCCTCCATCGGCAGGAGTCACAAGTCAATTTGAGTCAGGAAAAATGGGTTTTGCGGTCAATTAAAAAGATTTGGGGCTGTTAGGCAGTGAGGGCAATTAGGATTGGCGTGCAGTCTGCCCTATTTTAAAGGGTATTACTGTTAGGGCTGTAGCCGGATCCTATTTGTACGAGAGTGCTCCTTGTTGAGCGAGGAGACTCAGTTCTCGCTATGTCTTTGAGACTTAGGGAGTCTTATTGTGAGAAATTTTGGTGATAGGAGGGGCTGGTGCTTCGTCAATTGCTTTTTAAAATTATATGAGAATAAATGAGCTTTCAAGATTTAAGAACGCTGGGAAAATTATTTTTTAGAATTGGTCTCATTTGCTTCGTCCTCTGGTGAGTATGGTGAAAATTCAATGGTCTTAACGCCACTTAAGCTTTGAGGGTGAACTGAGATGCGAGCAGTTTATTGAGCAGCTAATCTATGAGTGGTCAATAGGGCTCATTTTAGCGCAACCCTCACTATCCCAATAGCTGCATTTTTCACTGTTTGCAATTTATTAATTGAGTTATCACTAGCGGCATGCGCCCTGACTGTTCCTCCAAGAACGATAACCTTCGCTGGGTTTTTCAGATTTTCTGCTGATAAGTTAACTGCTGGGTCGAAATGGACGCCGAAAATTTTAGGGTCCTTCAATATGTGCCAATCTTTTAGGAAAAAAGGACCCACAGTATAACAAAACGTTTGCACGCTAGTTCTCTTGTGCAGATAACAGAATAAAGATTGCGTTCTCTGGTCTGCTGCTTTCGCTCAAGAGTCTGTGGGACGCCGATAAGTTTTATGTGGAGAAGCTAAATGATAGTATCGAAGATTAAAATGAGAAGTTGAAGTAGTTTTTGAGAATATAACTTGTTTTTATAAAGTTTAAAGAACAGCATCAAATTTCACGTGATTTACAACATCAAATTGGCAAGCAGGCGCATTTCAACTCTCCTGTATCCGCTTGAGACGCTCTTGTAAACAGCCCAAAAACAGCATAGACTTTTCTTTCGATTTGAGTCATATGAACTCGGTGAAGAAAATCAAAACATTTATCTACTCGATTTGGCTTTCAACTTTCTGCAAAAAAATGGAAGTTCAATGTGATGCCTGGATTCTAATCCACAATTGAAAAAAAACGTTTTCAAGTTCAGTTGAGAGATTTTAATTATTCAAGGTTGGGTTTGAAAAAATCTTGAAGATGCAGATTTAAAACTTAAATTCAAATCTGAGAGCCCGAGGCAGACACGTTATGCCACAAAGATGTGTCATTGCAGCCAAAAAAAATCATAAATTGAGTCACAGCAATTCCATACCAAGAGCCAGCTTCAAACAAATTAGAGGAAAACAGAACACACAGCTCATACAAGGAACAGTGAAAGCGAAAATTAGAAGAAAAAAAGCAAAGCGAAAATTAGAAGAAAAAAAGCAGAAACTATAGACTGCGAAAAGGAAGCTGTAAATTGGCTCAATGTTGAACGCTTCAGTGAGTTATCGTTGCACATGAATAAATCAAAATTTAGTAACCAGTGAACAAGTATAAAGGGGCTTTAGCATCCAAAACAAAAACTGAAGCCCAAAATCAGGAGTAGTATTAATGAGACACATAACTAAAAAAAAAGGAGTATAAAATCAAAAAACATCTCTTAGCATCAAAAGAAATGCTCAAAAAAGCCAGGATTTGAGCTTCAAATGATATAAAAAAAGTGAATAAAATTATCCCAGAGCATGATTTAGTTCAAGCATGCATGTTTAAATAAAAACAATGCGATTTGGCACAAAACCGATGCTGGGTGCAAACTCGCAGCGCAGCAGTAGCGCTTAAACATATTTGCTCAGCATAGCTCTATAAATATCGACTATGTAGAGATAGCGTATAATGCTTATTACGTAACCTTGGCTTAACACAGCTGGGAGATGTCTCGCCCAGTTAATTTTTATGGTCATTCTCAGAAATGTACAATCTAGACTGTACTCTCGTCACGATTTTGGATTTAGATAAAAAAATCTTGAAGATGCAGATTTAAAACTTAAATTCAAATCTGAGAGCCCGAGGCAGACACGTTATGCCACAAAGATGTGTCATTGCAGCCAAAAAAATCATAAATTGAGTCACAGCAATTCCATACCAAGAGCCAGCTTCAAACAAATTAGAGGAAAACAGAACACACAGCTCATACAAGGAACAGTGAAAGCGAAAATTAGAAGAAAAAAAGCAAAGCGAAAATTAGAAGAAAAAAAGCAGAAACTATAGACTGCGAAAAGGAAGCTGTAAATTGGCTCAATGTTGAACGCTTCAGTGAGTTATCGTTGCACATGAATAAATCAAAATTTAGTAACCAGTGAACAAGTATAAAGGGGCTTTAGCATCCAAAACAAAAACTGAAGCCCAAAATCAGGAGTAGTAATAATGAGACACATAACTAAAAAAAAAGGAGTATAAAATCAAAAAACATCTCTTAGCATCAAAAGAAATGCTCAAAAAAGCCAGGTTTGAGCTTCAAATGATATAAAAAAGTGAATAAAATTATCCCAGAGCATGATTTAGTTCAAGCATGCATGTTTAAATAAAAACAATGCGATTTGGCACAAAACCGATGCTGGGTGCAAACTCGCAGCGCAGCAGTAGCGCTTAAACATATTTGCTCAGCATAGCTCTATAAATATCGACTATGTAGAGATAGCGTATAATGCTTACTACGTAACCTTGGCTTAACACAGCTGGGAGATGTCTCGCCCAGTTAATTTTTATGGTCATTCTCAGAAATGTACAATCTAGACTGTACTCTCGTCACGATTTTGGATTTAGATAAAAAAATCTTGAAGATGCAGATTTAAAACTTAAATTCAAATCTGAGAGCCCGAGGCAGACACGTTATGCCACAAAGATGTGTCATTGCAGCCAAAAAAAATCATAAATTGAGTCACAGCAATTCCATACCAAGAGCCAGCTTCAAACAAATTAGAGGAAAACAGAACACACAGCTCATACAAGGAACAGTGAAAGCGAAAATTAGAAGAAAAAAAGCAAAGCGAAAATTAGAAGAAAAAAAGCAGAAACTATAGACTGCGAAAAAGAAGCTGTAAATTGGCTCAATGTTGAACGCTTCAGTGAGTAATCGTTGCACATGAATAAATCAAAATTTAGTAACGAGTGAACAAGTATAAAGGGGCTTTAGCATCCAAAACAAAAACTGAAGCCCAAAATCAGGAGTAGTATTAATGAGACACATAGCTAAAAAAAAAGGAGTAGAAAATCAAAAAACATCTCTTAGCATCAAAAAAATGCTCAAAAAAGCCAGGATTTGAGCTTCAAATGATATAAAAAAGTGAATAAAATGATCCCAGAGCATGATTTAGTTCAAGCATGCATGTTTAAATAAAAACAATGCGAGTTGGCACAAAACCGATGCTGAGTGCAAACTCGCAGCGCAGCAG